TCAAAACAAAACCTTAGGAATTGTATAGTATGGGAGCTCGCTCGTTTGTGGTGCTTAACATTGGCCCGGTTGGTTGTTACCCGGCTTTCATTGTGCAATTCCCTCACCAAAGCTCCGATTTCGATGCGTCGGGTTGCTTGGCTTCTTACAACAATGCGGTGAACGAGTACAACTATGCGCTCAAGAGCTCGGTCGAACAAGTTAGGCAAGAGCTTAAAGATGCCAACTTCATGTACGTCGACACTTACTCCGTGATACTAGAGCTTTTCCAAAAGCCCTCCGAACACGGTAACCGACTTTCTCGACCATCTGATTTTCTTTTAGACTTCGGATTGATAGTTGATCATCTTTCTAGAGCTAAATTTTAAAAAAAAAATGTCTATTTTTGGCCTACCTTAGGTTTTATAACCAACTAGCAGATATAAAGACGAAATTAAATATAATCACGTTTTGCTGAAGTACGAATAACACCCAATTTTAACCTGTAAAATGATACAATTACCCTTTCTCCCATATTTTTTCAATAAAAATTATACCCACAAACCGTTTTTAGAATTCGAGAACTCAATTGTAGAAATCAAGACATTGTTTATGTATTTTATAAACATCGGAATTCCAAAAATTAATTATATGAATCAAGATATTATTTAAATGTTCATATAAAGTACTAGAAATCATTTTTGGAACCCTAAATATAATTTTGAGTGGAAGAGTGTGGAAGGCTATTTCGGTTTTCGGTCATTTCACAGGAAAAATGACTATTATTCATACTTTTATAGAAAATTTCTATATTGCATCGTTTACGAAATGAGAAGATTGTTTACTAATATTACTCTTTTTTTTATTATTATTTAGGTTTGCAACATGGGACCACCGCATGTTGTGGATATGGAGGTGGACCCTACAACTTCAATCAGCAGGTCTATTGTGGGGCCACAAAGGAGGTAGACGGGCAGACCGTAACAGCTGGGCCGTGCAGCGACCCACAGAATTACACCAGCTGGGATGGGGTCCACCTCACAGAGGCTGCCAGCAAGGCATTGGCATATGGGATCCTAGGTGGCTCAAACCTCAATAAATATTGTGATATTCAGCCTATAGGTTAGAAAATGAAATTATGAGAAGAGAGTACTATTGTTAGTGACTGTGTTTTGGGCTTGTGGAATGAATAATTGATCAGTGTATGGTGCTGACAAGTGACAAGTTTGGGCATGGATGGGATGGGTATAATGTCGCTTTGTGGTGTGGTGGGCGTGTTTTTGTTAAATGGTAAATCTTATTTNTTGTTGTATTTTGTTATTCAATAAATAAATATACATATTTTCATGTTTATATTTTATGTTTTAAAATAGAATATAAATAAAATTATGATATTTTAAGAGGGTCGAACGAACTTTTATACTCTACTGTTAGACCGAGTGATAAGAATATTTATAATTGGGTATTGTTATTTGGATGTATGAAATGGCCTGATGGACTGTGGAAGGAGTAGGGAAGGCCCAGAACAATTATGTGGCCCAATACTAAACTGGATGACAAGAAGTAAGAACTGGTGTTTGCCCCATAAGAAACTATTAAACTTACACATTATTTTATTTTTTTGTGTTATTTTTTACCACCCTTTAGGCTTTATGGAATCAATTATGTGAAAGTAGCTTCATTCATTTGGTACACTCTGATAAAAAATCATTTTAGTGATCTAGATCACAAATTGAGGATATATGTGATCCTGAAAGGGGAGAAGGATATATTTGTAATTTTACATTGGATATATAAATTGCGAAAAATAAAATGTGAATTTTCTGAAAATATAATATGGATTTGAGAGGCTCGAATGAGCTTACGTACCAAAATTTTGCCTTTAATACACCCTGACACACGTATTTAGCACAACTTTGTAATGAAGATTTATTATAGGTTGTGGATTGCAATTATTCATCTATGAGTGATTTTACCAGCTTTTATGCAAAAGGAAAAAAAGGTTCAGTTACATTACGTTACTTCGCAAATCCGCATCACACAATTATTATGCTTCAAGTTCAAGAAAGACTATGTTTGGTACATCAATAAGCAGCTTATAACTTATTTGGTTAGCTTATAAGCTCTCTGTATTCAAATAAGCTCCGCTTGATAGGACGAGCTTATTTAAAAAGCTCGAACTTATTTGATAAGCTTACGTGGGTAGCTTTTCAAATAAGCCTGTTAAAATTTTTATTTCAGCTAGCTTATCAGCTAATTTACTAAACACTTTTATCATATAAGCTAGCTTTTCAGCTATAAGTCATAAGCTATAAGTTATAAGCTCTAAAATTACTGATAAGCTATAAGCTAGCTTATCAGCTATCAGCTAGTTTATAAGTTATTTTTACCAAACATAGCCAAAGTAGTACGTGTGTGCTACTTATCATGATCAAAATATATAAAATCTACACAACTTAATTATCAAGGATCTGATGAAATTAGTTAAGAAGACTACTACAAAATTGACCCTATTGAGCAAAATTGATTTTTTTTTTTACCTGCTCGAGCTCGATTTAAGACGCTCGAGATCGACTAGACAAAAAAGACAATGCTCGAGCCCTTCTCGAGATCGATTGAAATCAAAATGCTCGACAGCTCGAGCTCGGCTCTACTTCGATTCGATTTTTAAGTAAAATTACCATTAAGTATATATATAAAATATTGTAATGTTTATATATAAGGGGTGTTTTAATAATTCACTATATATCTTGAGCAGCCCGCGAGCCGCTCGACCTTCCTAAACCTATGCTCGAGATCGACTCGATAACATGCCCGAATTCGGTCAAACTTGAGCTCGAACTGAGATTTGACTCGAGCACTCGCGAGCCGCTCGTTTCATTTGCAGTCCTAGTCAAGTTAATCGAATCTTTGAGTCATTATTAAATATAAAAATAAATATTTATTCTGTCAAATGTCACACTTTTATTTTTCATTTTTTAAAGTACGATATTTGAAAATAATATCCAAACTTAATCGCTATGTGTCCTAATTAAAGATTTATGCAAAAACTTCTCTATACCCTACTATATAAGTCCAAGTGATACTGCACAACTTGACCACACATAAACCTCAAAAACTCTCATCTCCCTAGCTACAAAAAAAAAAAATTTCACATTAATTTGACAAAAATGAGTCTTGAATCTTTTTGTTCATCACATAAAAATTTATTAGTGTTTGCTGTGTTTATAATTTCAACGGTAGCAGTGAGTCCAATATCTGAAGCAAAATGTGATATTAGAGCAATTTTCAACTTTGGGGACTCGAATTCTGACACCGGCGGATTTTGGTCGGCTTTTCCGGCAGCAAATCCGCCCAACGGCATGACTTACTTCAAGAAACCGGCTGGACGAGCAAGCGATGGCCGGCTCGTGATCGATTTTTTAGGTATGTGTTTCTGTTATAATTAAGCCATGTTTTTTTTTTTTTTTTGGTGCGTGTGTGTTTACTTATGTTAAGATAGAAAAAATGGTGGAAAATGATGATATAGTGTTGTTGATGTGTTCATTTCTTTTGATCTGCAAATTTGCATTTTCATGATATGATTTTGTTTCAAATTCTTCATTTTAATAAGCATATAAAATACATCATTATGCTTCTGAATTGTGCCTAAAAATATGAGCAAACATAGATGTAGATTAAGGGCAGTGACAGGCAGAACACGACACATAAATACGATACGTCACAACTATAAAAACATAATTATAGAAACAAAAATTATACGGTAGGCATAACATGACATGAAATTCGATGCCAAAGGAATGTAATGAAAAATTAAGCTAAATCTCAATTTAGTATCATAATTAAAATAAAAAAGATAAATAACACGAAAACACAATAATAAAACAAGCACCAATTTATCAAGTCAACGACACCATAGCTTAGGCCGTCTAATTTTGAATAAACTAAATTGAACTTTTTGTCATTTCCTTTGAAGATTGTAAACAATTAAATAAAATAAACTATGTAAGAAAAAATAAATGATAAAATTATTACTTGGGATCATTATAGAGAGTGAGGCCCGTGATTTGGTTCATGAATAGCTCTCTTTTTCCTTTCACATTGAAAAACATTATTTGATACGTTCATAGGGAAGCTCAACAGATCATAGTTAAAAGACAAAAAATTCCAACATAAATTGCTGTCCAAAATGGGGCCTCTAGTCGTGTCCTTATCGAGAATAATCCAAATCAAGATTGGATTCTAGCAGATTCATTACTCCCATTGTTCAAAATCTTTGGCCCATTAATAAATTAACAGGCCCAACTTGTACGAACGCGTGCAAAGTTCAAATCTGACTGTGGGCTCAGAGCACTAAAGGGCATATTTTGAGAATTTATATTTTGGAAGCCACAAATTTGTAGTATTTCCAAAGGCATAACAAGGTACAACTACAACCCTTTCATGGTATATTCATTAAATAGAAAAGAACAGTTAGATGAACACTTAAATTAGTATATAGGGTATATATGTTGGGTATGTTTAACTCAAAATCTAGTTGATAAGGGATAGTTAATAAATGAATATTGAGTTTATAGTGAATACCTTATAACTGATGGCTAGAAAGCTAGATGATATAATTAAAGTGTTTGGTAAAAATTATTGATAACTCAATTGAAATAAAAAATAAATAATAAAATAAGAAAAGCTATTAGGGGAGGCTTACGAGATAAGCTCCCTTTTTTTTAAAAAAGTTTTATCTTAACAAACCAAATTTATTTGAAATACATAAAATTATAAGGTAATTAAATAATTTATAGGTTAACTTATAGTCATTATCAAATACACTCATAATGTAGAGGCATAACACAAATGATGTTATAATAGCAAACATACCGAAATCATAATTGGGGTTTTTTTTGTAGTTAAAATTCCCCTATTGACTCAAATAGATACATTTAAATTTTTAAATTGAAATGTTATAGGCTTCCATCATAATTTAAAATTATCACTAAATGGATTTTAACTATTTTCAAAGCGAAATGTTACACGCTTCCATCATAATTTAAACTATCATTAAATGGACGTTGACAAGTCTAGACATTTCAATGCAATATTTTCTATTTAAATAATTTATTTTTATTTTTATTCTTATTATTTTCATTTTTGTTTAATGAAGCTCAAGGTCTAGGGCTACCATTCTTGAGCCCATATTTGCAGTCAATTGGTTCAGATTACAGACATGGTGCGAACTTTGCCACGCTGGCATCCACCGTGCGCGTGCCCCAAACTTCCTTATTCGTTACTGGAGTTAGCCCTTTTTCTCTCTCCATTCAGCTCAATCAAATGAAGCATTTCAAAGCCCAAGTTGTCCAATTTCATTCTAATTCAGGTACATTTTACATATATATATGCATGCAAACACATCTTATATATATCATGTCATATTTTATAAGCTCCTTCATTCAAAAAGTCATATTACACAAACTATCTAGCCCACTGATTTATCATCACTCAATCATATGATATACGATTAGTTAGGTAACGCTGCAAACAAATCGATCGGCTCGCGAAAACTCGAGTTTGACTGAGCAAGAATCAAGCTCAAGAACCTTAAACTTGAGCAAGTATGATATAAGTTCGAGTGCTCAATGAGCCTCATGAGTACAAGTAGTGCAATTTACCCAAATATATACCCTATTGCTCGAGTTAAAATTGAGTCAAATTTGAGAAAAAAACAAATTTTATTTTTAAGTAATATTTTTTCCTGAAAGTTCTAGCTGATGAAATTCAGGTTGATCTCGAGTATCTGTATATTTTTGTCAAGTCGAGTCGAGTTGAGCCTTCAGAACTAACGTTCAAGCCGTAGTAAAAAAAATTAGAGCATAGCTTGATAAAGTCAATACTCGTCTCGATTCAGCTTATTTGAAGCTCTACCAATGAGGTTTTTCCATTTCCCAATTTTGAATTTTTCTAAAAACAAACTAGCATTCTTAATATATTAGAGTAGTTCTTTAATAGGGTTTTCTACACTTAAACTAATTTACCATTCATCATAACATACTCAATTATCGACGTGAACCAAAATATTTGATAAAGTTTGAAATAATTTGTTGATTCATTTATTTATTTTTAACAGGAATTAACAATCTCCCTTCACCAGACGTGTTCGGAAAATCCCTCTACACATTTTATATCGGCCAAAACGACTTCACCGGAAACCTACCCTACATCGGCATAAACGGGGTGAAACAATATCTTCCGGAGGTAGTCGCCCGAATTTCAAACACCATCAAGGTAAAACAACACAATAATTATATATCACCATTAAAAGAACAAAATTATGAGGTTAATTAATATATAAAACAATACTCCATTAGTTATAGTTACTAACTCATGTTGTTTAATTCATTAGGAAATTTACGCGTTAGGCGGACGAACATTTTTCGTGATGAATTTAGCACCGATCGGATGCTACCCTGCATTTCTAGTCGAGCTGAATCACGCGGATTCAGACATAGACAAATTCGGGTGCATGATTTCTTACAACAATGCTGTGGTAGAGTACAATACCTTGTTGAAAGAGGCTTTGAGAAAGACGAGAGGAGAAATTGTTGGTGCAAATGTGATATATGTTGACACACATTCAGTGTTGCTTGATCTTTTCCAGCATCCAACTTCTCATGGTACACTCTTTAACTTCTTTATGAGGGTTTCCATTATAGTTTGGTTATTTTTTTATTATTTTCTTAATGTCGTCAATTATATATGTAGCTTATAAATAAAAATTATTAAATTAATCGTTATTATACATTTACCAACATAAAATTGTACTAGTGTATATCCCGTGCGATGCACGGAAGAGTTCATATTTTAAATATTTTTTTAACTTTATTTTAAATATAATTATTTCTATTTTTCACATCTCTTCTATTATGAAAATAAAATAAATACAATCAATGAAAAATATATAATATTAAATACTTTTCTTTATACAATATTTTTTATTTAAGGAATATTATTAAACCTTACGGTTTTGATTTGTTTTTTTAAATCAATAATCCAAAATATATGATTGTTAACGTACAAAAAATAATGGAAATAATCTAGACTTTAAAGTAAAGCTATTTTTTATTATTTTACAAACAAAAATATTCCAATTTTTTTTTTACTTTCATAAAAAAATTTGGCAAGTTTGATAATGAGTTAAATCAAGTGATACAAATGATTAAATAGTTAAAATGTTATATTAATTATATTTTAAGAATTCCAATTATATAAAAATGGGTAAAAAAATATTATACTAATTAGTTTGTTAGGATTGTGATTATATGAAAGTTAAAATAAAATGAAATGTAACCAAAAAATTTGTTCGTGGTTTTTTCCTAAATGTTTGAATTTAAAAATCTAGTAACCAAATTTACATTATATCACGTAAGGAAAAAAATAAATAATAAATATTTCTTAAAGAGATAAATCAATAATATTTATCACTTAGATAATAAATAATAAATATTTACATGTAAAAAAATAAATAATAATATATTTAAAAATATAAGTCAGAATTTCAAATAAAGTAAAAGGAGGGATAACTCATTTTTTAAAAAAAGTTTCTAAATATTTAATATATTGATAAGTATCTCCATAAGAATAATCATACCATTTTAATTTTACAAAAATTGGCAAGTTTGTTAGAGAGTTAAATCCGGTTAGACAAATGATTAATTTGTTAAGATATTATATTAATTGTATCATAAAAAATGGGTTAGATAATGTAGATAAAAAAATATAATACTAATTAGTTTGTTAGAAATGTTATAATGAAAACCAAGATAAAATGAAATTTACCCAAAAAAATTGTTTGGAATCTTTTCCTTTAAATGTTTGAATTTACAAATTTAATACTGAAATTCTATTATATCACATAAGGAAAAAATAAATAATAAACGTTTATTAATATATTAAAATATGTAATTTTGAATTTCATATAAAATAAAAGGTATGCTTATTCAAATTTATTTTTAAAATAAAAGTTATGATAAACATTTATTGATTCTCTTTCAAATATATTAATAAAATAAAAATATAAATCTAAACAAATTTTGAAACAACCAAAAAAATCGGATTGATTGGCATAAAAAAAGGAAGTGAAATCGGATTTGAATGCTAAAATCGGAACACCTTACCAAATTGAATGCTAAAAGATTCGATTTGATTGGTTACCTAATTGCATGGGCTGAAAAAATTCAAAAAAAAATTTTACGAATTGAAGAAGCGGGAAAAACACTATATTGAAGCGGGAAAACGAAATGATTATTTTCGGATTGTTCAAATAATTTTCTTCTCCGTATTATATAGTAATAGATTTGTATAAATTTTAATCAATTGGTATATATTTACTGTGTCATGTACTATATCATATCACGTTGCTTTTAAAATCATTACAGTTTAATATTATATTCATCCGGAGTTTTCAAAAGTATTTAATTCTTTCTACCATAATTTTTTTTTTGTTTTCTATTTTCACATCAAATTGATCTCCTAAAACTAATTTTTAAATTAAATATAAATAGACGAAAAAAAAAAAATATCTCAAGAAAATAGATGTGCAATTGAATTATCTACTTTTGGAAAATTTTGTCTCCTCGGATTCAGAAACCTTTTTTTTTTGTTATCCCACGAGACAAATTTTTCCCAAAATTTTTATATTGATCACATCTCTAGTTTATTTTCCTTTCAGTTTATTTTATTTTAAAATTTAGTTCTATTATTATTATTATTATTATTATTTCCAGGGTTGAAATACGGAACAAAAGCGTGCTGTGGGATGGGCGGCGGCGCGTACAATTTCAGCCCAAAAGTATTTTGCGGGAACACGAAACCGGTCAACGGGCAAAATATGACCGCCGGCGCCTGTACGGATCCGTACAACTACGTGAGTTGGGACGGGATTCATGCCACGGAGGCGGCCAATAGGGTAGTGGCGCGTGCCATTCTCAATGGCACCCTATTTGACCCTCCATTTGAACTTCATAGACTCTGTGATGTTCAGCCAATTGGTTGACTTTTTTTCCAATTTTAATTTTCTTGATTTTAATAAGTTATTATCACAAATTTTCGTATGAGCCAGTCGAACTGTAGGAAGATCGCTGTACATTTATAATAAAAAATACATATTTATGCTGTAAAATGTTGTACTTTATTAATGCTTTTTTTAGTGTATGACATTTAACTTTAACAGTTTTTAGAGTATTACATTTCAATTTCACAATTTCATCGTCTACTATAACCAAAGGTTACTGATATATATATCATTGATCAACATCGATGAATATAATATTAAAAGATAACGAGATATTGACACGTGGTTGGTTAAAACACTTAATATTATACACAGTCACTATGTGGATATGAATGACTTTTAAAAGATAATAAGATTTTGACACAGTGGCTAGTTCGCGCATCTTAATATGTGCACGATAGGGTTGGAGAACATTTTTTGATCTTAAAAGAATGCGTATTTGATTAGATTGCTTAATAAAGTACAACTAGTACAACACTCGTGTATTGCACATGTGTTTGTTAAAAATTTATTCTTAAATTGTAAAATTAATGAGAAAAATTATTTAATATTTTATTTACTTTTTTTATAAAAAATATATATTTTAGATTGACACTTGTTACTTGTGCGAATTACATTGTATTTTATTATAGTAATTTTTATAACTTATATCATATAACTACTTGAAATATAAATATATTAATTGATAAATAATTTTATTTTTTTAATTAATATTAAAAAATAATTTTATTATTATTATAAAGATAAATATAATTTATTTTTTTTATACATACAATATGGATGTCAAATCGAAGCTCATCAAGAGATGATTAATTTGATATATAATATATGTAAAACTGATAAAAAATACAAAAGTTATTAACTTCTAATATACATTTACAATTCAATGGTTATAATAAGAAATGATATTAAAATGCAATTAATACATGTAACATGACCATAAATGATCAACGGATAATCCGGACCTAATCATTTTTGGATTGAAATTAAATTAAAATCTACCAAAACCTAATAACGAAATAATTTTTACCACATAGGATCTCGAAGCATGCGAGCCTACCAATTAGGAGATAGGGGATTGTCTACGTTGCACATGTATTCTTGTTATTGTTATTATATTTATTATTATTATTATTATTATTATTAGAAGTCTTGGTCATAAAATCGGTGCATATTCTTTCCAAGAGAAAGCAACAGCCCAACAGCCAATTATTGACCACTAATAAATACTTCCATTGAAAATTCACAATTTATTCCCCACACACTATATCGAGACACATCTTTAAGTAGTAAAATATTATACGAGTAGTCAATTTAATTGATTTGATTTAATTTGGCAATCAGCAATTAATGGTTATTGGTCAGGTGGGTGCCTAAAGGCCAAATAGTCCAACATGCCGCCGACTCCAATAAAGCTTCCAGCACCATAAAGATTATTCTCACTGAAAAACAAGAAAATAAAATTGAACATATTAAAGCTAGTTTAAGATTCTCTGTAATTTACTTTTTGCTTTTCCATTTTTTGTGTTTTCTTTTTTTATCTTAACTCTGAATTTGTACACTTGTTCAGTTGTTTGATTGGAATTGGACCTGTTGCAATCGCAGTTTCGCGTTAAATGTTTAGTTGTAAGTGCACCCACAATGCTTTGGCTTTCTTTGAAAAAAATCACATATCATGTAGGAAATAGACTTAGTTTTCTAAAAAAATATTTCACAATATAATTAAAAGTGGACGTAGTCCAATTTATGTGGCAATAAAAAAAAGAGACTAAGTCCACTCTTGGGTCTATTTTGGACCCAAGTGTGAACCTTACAATAGCGATCATTTACTATTATTATATTTTTATTGGTTGTTAGGTATTCTAGATCTAGTACTTTTTTTTTGCATTAGATAGATTTTGGATTTTTTAGCTTGGGTTTGTCCATGACATTATAGACTTAAGTCTATTTATTTGCCACATATGCCAAAAAAAGATCCAAAGCATTGTGGGTGCTCTAACGAGTTATGTTACATTATCATAATAGCATACAATCATCTATAACACTTGTTATTATAATATTACCAAAATCAACAATTTTACATCTTATCATCACATAATTCGATAAATTAGTCTGGCAAAGTAGATTAAGTCTATCTCAAAAGGAAATAATTGTATTCACTTGGGAAAAGGGGGAAATAAGATC